ATTTGAATGAGAGTTTTGCAGGATATATTATTCTTGGCTGGCAATTTTTTTCTTTCAAGGTTTTATATATGTCATCCCATTGCTTTCTTGCTTGCATGGTTTCTGCCAAATAATCCGAGCTTAATCTTATTGTTTCTCTTCTGTATGTGATTTTTTGTTTTTCTCGAGCTGCTCTCAGGATTTTTCGTTTGTCTTTGGTTTTAGCAAGTGTGATTATGATATGCCTTGGTGATTTCCTTTTGTGGTCTATCCTATATGGGGTTCGTTGAGCTTCTTGGATGGTCAGCTTTGCATCTTTCATGATATTAGGGAAGTTTTTTGTCGGCAGTTCTTCAGTGATCCTCTCTGTGTTTTCTGTTTTCTCCGCCTGTTCTGGAACTCTGATCACTCAAAAATTTTTGCTTTTGATTGTGTCTCACATAATTATCAGTGTTTCTTCATTTTTCTTCTTTTTTTTCTGATTTTTCCTCAAGCAGAATTGTATCCAAGTGTTTGTCTTCAATTTTGCTGAACTTGTCTTCCATCATTTCAAACCTGCCACTCAGCCCTTCTATGACACTGTCCAAATCTTTTTGTTTATCTTTTGGATTTCTAATTGATGTTTTTGTATGATTTCTAGTTGTGAATTTATTTTGGTATTTTGTTCCTGTATTATTTTCCTGAAGTCTTCCATTTTTTTGGTCTGTATTTTCCATGAATTTAGCTGCCTTTTCCATGAATTTGTCTATTTTTTCCTCATTTTGTCTGATTTTTGCTTCAACTCTTGGATACCTTTGAATATCAGAGATTTGAATTCCCTATCAGGTAGTTCTAGTGCCTTTTCTTCTACTGGAAATTCATCTGGTGTTTTATTTTGGACACCTACTGGAACCATCTTGTCCTATTTTTTAAATATTTTTTGATATTGTCTGCTGTCTTCAGGACATTCAGTAGTTATTTTCCTCGTTTATTGATTGTAGATTTGTTTGTTTCATCCTGCTTTTTTGTTTTATTTGGTTATGTCTGAGCAGGTGGGCTGTGCATTCTTTGTTGTTTGCTCATCTGAGGGTATGATACTTTTCACCTCCTTCTCCAATGGGCAGGGTCAGTCACTCAGGTATGGTACAGCAGGGCAGGTCCAGTTGAAGGGGAGTTGCTGGGACAGGTTGTTTGTGCCACGTATGAGGGCCAAGAGGGCAGGCCGGCAATAAGTTCAGGGCAGGTTCTAGTAGGTCATGCCTGTGCTGCGTGGGGGTGTGATGTTCAGTGCACTGTGCAGGGAGGCAGGAAGGAGGCAGGGGATTGTGATGTGTGGAGCTAAGATTGGTATGGGAAAGAGGAGAGAGAGGATAAAGGAACAGGAACCAAAAACAAACAAACAAAAAAGAGTGCTAAGGGAGCTTGTCATTGGAGTGATGAGAGACTGAGAAATGGAGAAAAACAAAAAGAAAGAAAAAGGGTAAAAGAAAATAATGAATAAATAAAAATTAGAAAAGAAAAGCACCAAACGATCCCAGCAGTGCAGCTGCGAGGACTGGGGAAGTTGCTCCCAGGTTGTGAAGGACATGCTGGCTAGAACAGGTAGAGGTGTCATACAGTGCCAAGTATTCAAGAAACAGGAAAAGAAAGTAAGCATACAGAGGCAATAAACTGAGAAATGAAGAAAGACAAACAGGGAAAAAGAGAAAAGAAAAGAAAACAAACAAGAAAAACAAGAAACAAGAAATGCCCCCAGGAATCACACTGCGCAGCTGCACAGACTGAGGGAGTAGCTCCCAAGTCGCACAGTACTGCCTGGCTAGAAGGGGCTCCCAAGCCAATAAAAGAAAAAGAAATCAAAGAAACGAATAAATCAAAACAAACAAAAAAAGTCCCAGGGATCCCACCAGCATGGGCTGGGAAGCAGTTCCACAGTCGAGTGGCATTTCACAGCCTTTCAGGAAGAAGCAAAGATGGCACATGGAGCCCGGTATTTGAGAGAAAGGAGGGGGAAGTGGTAAGAGGTATGGAAGAAACCAAAAGAACCAGAAAAAAGCAACACCAGCAACCAACAAATGGTACTCAGGGAGCTGGCCAGTGCAGGGAAGTGGAATCCAAGCAGCACAGGCGTGAAGCTGGTGCTTCCGGGCCAAGAGACTGTGGCCTCAGGGAGCAGAGGAGGCCAAGTGAGTGTGAATAAGGATGGGGGGATGGGAAAGTGTATGTTGCTGGTTACTGGTTATTCTGTTTCCTGCTGGGAGATATGTGAAGCTGCTTTCCCATACTCCCTGTTCTCTGATCTCCGACAGGAGTCCAAGATGGAGGATCCGTGCTGCATTAGCTGATAGGGGACCTCTGCGTGTATCTCCCTCTGTGTTCTATGTCAGTTTCTTATTCCATTCGGTGCTTGGCTGAGTTCTTTATCTCTTCATTTGATGCTTAGGGTTTCAGGATTGATGTTGGTCTTTGACTTAGTTTTTCAGATCTTTGCTGTGGAGGAACAGCGTGGTGCTTCTGTCTATAGCACCATGTTGCCCAGAAGTCCTGTTTTCCATTCTTAAAACTGCCAGGACCATCTGTCTTTCTATAGGCAAGAGGGGATGGGCTCTTACGTAAAAGTTGGGGCATTGTCATTAGAAGGAGCACACCTGGGGAGCAATGTATACAGGCACAGATGCAAGAAGGTGGGGAGGTATTGTAGGGGGAGCTTTAGGACATTTTCTTTTGACTGCTTCTATTTTCTCAGTGACATAGGAAACCAGGTCAGGAACTAAAATGAAAACGGGAGAGTTGATGTGGGAGGCCTGAGGAGAGAGAAAAAGTTGTGACTCAGTCATCCAGGAGAGTAGGAGAGGGCATGGGCTATTTGTATGATCAATGGGTGGCACTAAGAGAAAGTACCATCTTTAGTACAATTTCTAATATTAATGGAAAGGACCTAGTGCTCCTTTCTGGCATTTGTGTGTATAGGGGAAGCTGGAAGGGTTGTGTAGTTATTTCACGGTTTGGAAAGATGTGCTCAGTTTCTCTGCCTAGGCTCTCACCGTATTCAATCAAAGGTCCAGGAGAATCTGGATTAAACTGGGCTTCTCAGGTACTATCCTGATCATGGGGGGAGAGAACTGAGAAAAAGGAAGATAATGGGACCAGCTACCCTCTAAGCAGTGGTTCTCAGAGTGGGCTTCCCAGACCAGCAGTATCAGCAACACCTGGGAACTTGTTAGACATGCCAATTTTCAAGTCCCACTGGAGTGCTGCTGAATCAGGAACCCTGAGGTGGGGAGCAGCAACCTGGGTTTTAACAAGCCCTCCAGGTGATTCTGAAGCAGGGTTCAGTTTGAGAACCACTAGTCTAGAATAATTTTCCTGATTATGTTACAGGAAATGTAGAATCCTGTCTGGGATTCTAGAATATAAGCTGTCTGAGGGTAGGGCCTTTGTTTTGTTCACTCCTTGACACATAGAAAGCACTCAATATATTCAACAAATATTTGTTGAACAAATGAACAAACACATGAATGAACCAATCTGTTCAGCCGATAGATCTGGGGCACGCAATGGAAAAATGAAACCTTGTCAATGCTGCTCAAGAAGTTTTTCATTTGGCTAATAGGGGAAAAAATTATATTTACTACCTCAAGAAGAAACCTGTCTCTCTGATCATTAATAAATTCATGGACAGTCTTTTTTGTGTCTGCACCTTTAAAGAAAATTGAAATAGACTTAGGTTTAGTTTATTATCCTTCAAAGATGTATAAAATAAAAGCTAAGTAACTAAATTATTGCAATAGTATATATCTGGACTTTTAAAAAATATATATACCTTCAAATCAATGTTTTTCCTAACCACTTAAAAACTAATTTAATAATAGTAAACACTACCTATTCTGTGTCCATCATATTCCGGGAATTTTATTAGACACTTTAAGTATATCATTTCATTTAATCCAAACAACTTGGATTAGGTATATTTTACTATCCCCGTCCTGTATATGAAGTCCTAAAGCTCAGAGACGTCAAGATGCTTGTCCAGGATCACACAGCTAATAAGTGACAGAAAAGGAATAACACTCTGGTCTGTACAACTCTGAAGCCTGTGGTTCACAAAATAAGTCTGAAATGTTTTAAATCGTAACGCTTGGCTAATCTAGATATAAAACTGAAGTCCTTAGTCAAAATCTTTTTGGGCATCACAAACCAAATTTTATTAATAGGAAAGGAAAAAATGACAACTAGTTCTGCGACCTCACAATAGTAAATACCAAAAGTTTCATTTCAAGGTTTCTTTACACTGCAAAACTAGACATATACTGCATGTCAGTAATGATCACTTCATGAAAACCAATGGGATGTGGTATAGGATAAAGTCCTTACTAAAAATATAAATAGAAGTAGAAATAAAATAATTTTTCCAAATAATCAATGAGTTCATATTGCACTAGGAGACATGTTGTTATTGTTGTTAGGTGCCATTGTGTTGATTTCAACCCATAGTGTTCAAATGTAACAGAGTAGAACTGCCCCATAGGGTTTTCTAGGCTGTCATCTTTACAGGAGCACATCACGAGGTCTTTCGAAGGGTTCGAACTGCCAATCTTTTGGTTAGCAGCCTAGCGCTTAACCATTGCACCACCAGGGCTCCTTGCACTAGGAGGCATAAGGTGTAGTAATTATGAGAAGTGGTATAGAGTAAAGTCTCTTAATAAAAATGTAAACAGAAGTAGGAGAATAGTATTTCTCAAAAAACCAATGAGCTTATGCTGCACTAGGAGGCCACGGTCTTCTGGGGTCATATCCTGCCTCCTCCTCTTACTAGCTGTAGAAACATGAGTAAATTATTTACTGTTTCAAAACCTCAGTTTCCTCATCTGTTAAATGAAGATACTAATGATGGTAGATTATATTATCATTTCCAGATATTTGCTGCCCCTCTCTGTGAGAGGATTGGCTTCCCCACCACTCCACTGATCTCAGGCATGTCTGACTTGATTTAGCCAATGAAACCGGAGTTGACATAACCTGTATTGCCTGCAAGCAGACGCTTTAAGAGCTACCACATGGTTCTTTGTTTTCTTTCTGCCACAACTGCAGTAATGTCCCAGACAGGGGCTGTTCCTTCAGTAGAGGACTCAGAGAAAAGCACTGAAGTTGGAAAGTGAACAAGAAATAAACCCCTGTGGTAAGTCACTGAAATTTAGGAGGTGGTTTCTTACCACAGTGTAAATTAGCCTAAGAGGATATGTTACTCTAAAACTTGTGGCCTAGTTACCGATATCACCTTGTGGCCTATCATTTGCTACCTTCTCATACAATTATAGCGTAGAATATGCAACTATGGGATCTTCTAAATAGGGTAACATGGCTTCCTTTTTGCTACATTAGTTATTGAATCCAAAGTCCTCTCCTAAGTGCTTTTCTTGTTCTCTGAAGATTTTTTTTCCCCCATGGGAAAGTGTATTAACTTCAGGAGCCAGAGAAATGTTTTTTTAAGCTGCCACAGCAAATCCATGACACTTAATATATTTCTTCCTCCCTCCCTCCCTTCCTTTCTCTTTTCCTCTATTTCTTTCTAGTTTAAAAAATTGGGAAAATTCATTTTGAGAGAAGAGTTTATGATTTTATTATCCTAACATAAATCACTTTAACCTCATTATAGTCAAACCACTTTCTATCTCACTTATAGGCACTTCCTGATCTTTAAGTAGGAAACACCAATGACATTTTGATTACCAGTTTGTCCCTCTATCATAAAGCAACAAGTATCCTCTTGCAGTATTTTAACACGTTGCCTTTGTTAGCTGCTGTTGAGTTGTGTCCGACTCATAGTGACCCTATGTACAGCAGAACGAAACACGGCCTGGCCCTGTGCCATCCTCATAATCACTGCTATGTTTGAGCCTACTGTTGCAGCCACTGTATCAATCCATCTCATTTGTAGTCTTCCTTTTTTTCACTGACCCTCTATTTTTACCAAGCATGGTGTCCTTCTCCAGGGACTGATCCCTTCTATAATATGTCCAAAGTACGTGAGGCTCTAAAGGTCATTAAAACCAGTTGTATTTTTGCAACCACAGGCAAACTTAGGGACTTTTCTAAGCTTGCCTGTTTTTTAATTCTATTAGCTTCCTGATTCTGGGTATATGAGTTCTATGGCCTGGGCAATCAAATTTCTAAATTTATACAAACCTCAGTTTGTATAAATGAATGGCCAGATCCATTACCTTTATATTCTATTCACCTTTGCTAACTTTAACACTATAAAATTTTGGCAGTGCCTTTCTTCCTAAGAGCCATGAAAATGAGTAACAGTCTACTTCTTGGAAAAGTATGTTTCCTTATTTAAAATAGATTCTCTCTCGATCCTCAGACCCATTTGCAAAGACTCCACCACCCTATTGTGAGTCGCATACTTCCCAAACCTGACATTAGCGTTAGATATTCAAAACAATGTTCATAAACAATCAGTAGAATGAGACTTACCTTCTTTTAATCTAAGAATAAGAGTGGGATCTAGCCCAAAGTTTTCAGGTGAGCCACCAGCTGCATCAGCGTAAAAAGCTATTTGGCCCAGGTGTGAACGACTCTTCATTCGGGATGAAAAAGTAGACTTTTGGTGCACTTTCATACTGTGGCTCATAAACCTCTCCTGCCCAAGTGGAAAGTTCAAAAAAATTTCTAATATACCAAAATAATGTCTTAAAATAGTGATCACGTGTAAAAATATAATTTGCAATAAGTCCTTTTCTCTCTTTTCATATCATTACTAATACATCAAACCAAACAACCCCAAGTTCTCACCTTCGAAGGAATATGTATAGTTTTTATTTCCTTCCTGTATGAAGCTGAAGAAAAATATTTTTAAATAATTAACTTTTGTTTGTTATATACGAGCCTATAAAGTGTTCTGGTTTTATTTTCTTATCTTGCTCAAAATGCAGATATACACTTGGAAAGTCCACTGATCTAAAAGAGTTGATTCTGTGGAACAGACAACTTGAAAAAAACAGGCCTTCAAAGAAGATATAAAAAATAAGGCTTTCAATATAAAATTAAAAATTTAATTTTGGTTAAAATTCAACAAAACTCTACAACACACGTAGAAAGCCATCGCCTTGCAGATGGATCAATTGTTAAGCATTTCTATATATTTTCCTCATTCTAATAAGGACAAAGAAAGTCTTCTAGTCAACCTTTACCTCTGGAAGTAAAGAAAGCAAATCTTATGAAATGTGAACCACCAGGCAGTATAAGCTCTGACCATACGGGTAGTGGGATTAACTCTGCAAGGCACAGGGGGGATAATTAGCCTCACTGATGATTTAGCTTCATACCAAATAATTCTAAAATGGCCTTTCGGCCTCATTCCCTTGCCCCTTTCCTCAACACACACATGTACGTTCTCTTATCCATATGTGCTGGGCAAATTTTGACTTCTTCTTTAAAATTTTTTTTTCTAAATATTTATTGTGTTAAGTATTTATATAACAAAACATTTGCCATTTCAACATTTTTTACATATACAATTCAGTGACATTAATTATGTTTATAATGTTGGGCAATCATCACCACTATCCACTTCCAAATTTTTTCATTGCTCTTGAAAGAAGCTCAGTGTCCCCTAAGCAACAACTCCCTCTTTCTGCCTCTTTCCTGCTCCTGGTAACCACTAATAAACTTTTGTCTCTATACATTTGCCTATTCTGGACATTTCATATAAGTCGGATCATACAATATTTGACCTTTTGGGACTGATTTATTTCATTCAGCATAATATCACTTATTCTTGAAGACTCAGCTCCTGTTATCTTCTCAATGAAGTCTTTATACACACACACCCCGCCACTACCACCACCATGACCACCATCCACTTCTCAGCAGCACAGATGAGCGTTCCTTTCTCTATGTTTCTTTTCCATGCCTCTATGACTGTAATGCATCAAAATGCCATTTATTGTAAGATGCACAATTGTTTTATGTACTGCCAATTAAGTATGACAGCCCTTCGCTGTAAGCTGGATTCCAGTTTTGGAATTGTGAAAAACAGGGTATATCCTACCGGTCATACCAGATTTTGATGGTGTGTCTGTCTTCGCCCACTAGGTGGCGATCTCTTTGGTTCCTACAACGTGAGCTGGATGCTGCTCCGCCAGGTGTTAACAACGCCTCTCCAGCACAATGTGAGGCACACACCACACGCATCGATGTCTGACTCCATGTCTCAGACCCCGTGAAGTTCTCAGCAGTAGTATACAGACTGATTCTAATTAATTAGAACTGTAGTTTTAACAAAACCTTACCTTTTTCTTCTCTGCCATCTCATTTTCTTTGAAAAGAAAGAGATCTTTGAAAAAGATCCTGTACGGCCTGTCTTGTTTGATGGAGTCATCTTTCGATTTATCTGATTAAAAAAAAAAAAAAGCAAAACTTCTATTGTCCCGCTTGTGCTGAACAGGACGGAGAGGCTCCCATCAGCTAAGGTAGAGTAAGGGGCAGAGCGGGCCTCTGAGAAGGTAGGAGGCTGACAGCCTCGTGCCCCACCCCACCCCCCACCCCCCCACCACAGCTGAAGGTGGAGATACAGGGCCTGGATCCCACAGCGGGAGCCACAGCGCCTCTGTTCCTGGCGGCCCCCAACACAGCACTTAGTGCTTTATGGTGGGTGAGTAGATATTTGTTCAATAAATAAAAAAGGAGGTTTTTGACAGAAGAGTGGGATCACAGTTTGAAATATTAAGATGTTGCTTCTTGCCACCACTACAAAGATACCCATCACTGCCCTGCGGTCAAGTCCAGGAGGCTGGGCCTGGGGACAGCAGGAGTGTGGAACAGTATCCCCAACAGGACAGGACAGTTGACCCACAAGAGTGCTCGGAGTTGCTGCCCCACACCACCAATCCCAGACCAGGCAGGACCCCAACATCCCAGGATGGGGCCCCTACAACCTCTGGTGGGCAGGACACCTCTCCCTGACCAACATTTCTGCCCCTCCAAAAAATCCTACAAACTTAGGCCCTATCTCACCCCAGGTGGCTTCACATTTTGAAAGCCTGTGTTTAAGTCCCCAAGTGACCAAGTTTAAATCTATAAGTGGTCTGGAACTGACAAGATGATATTTTTCTCCATCCAAGCAGATTTAGGGGCTTCAAAGTCATGTTCATTTCAGTTAGAAACAGTAAAAGTTAAACTTGTGAACCCCAAGCTTTCTGAATTATAAACTCACTATAAGCACTAGCTGCTAGCAAGCCTTTCAAACTCACTAGACTCCACCATTAGCCAAAGCCTCGTGCCTTACCAAAGGGTCTCATTTGACAGCTCATTCGGCCACTGACGCAACCTCTTTCCAGCACTCCACTTTTGCAAAATGGGATCTTCTTAGTTCTACAAGTCAAATTCTGTCAGCTGAACCCTGGCTACTCAGAGCTCTCCCTTTTTCCATACTACGTATTACTCTTCCCTAAGCTGCCTTGCAAATCCCTTCATTGATACGTAACCACCTTAGGTGAAACCTTTCTCTTCACTGCCTCTTCCTTACTGTGTTAGTTTCCTGTTGCTGCTGTAACAAATGATCACAAACTTAGTGACTTAAGACAACATAAATTTATTATCTTATAGTTCTGGACGGCAGAAGTCTGAAATGAGTCTTGCTATTGTTGTTGTTGTCAGCTGCCATCAAGCCGGTTCTGACTCACAGCGACCCTGTGTACAACAGAATGAAACACTGCCCAGTCCTGAGCCTCATCACAATCGTTGCTATGCTTGAGCCCATCGTTGCAACCACTGTGTCAATCCATCTCGTTGAGGGACTTCCTCTTTTTTGGTGACCCTTTACTTTACCAAGCATGATGTCTTTCTCCAGGGACTGCAAAGTCTCTTTTGCCATGTAAGGTAAGTAACGTATTCACAGGTTCCAGAGATTAGAATGTAGACATCTTTGGGGGAGGCATTATTTTCTCTGCCACATTCACAAAATCTCACTTCCTTCTCGCCTTGCCTCTTGCTGCCAGTCTATTTGCCTTGTCCTAATTCTCCCCTTCCTCCCTCCCTCCCTCCCTTCCTTTCTCCTTTTCTCCCTTTCTTCCTTCTTCCCTTCCTTCCTTCCTTCCTCCCTTCCTTCCTTCCTCCCTTCCTTTTTTCCTCCCCCCTTCCCTTCTTTCCTTCCTTCCTCCAACAAATACTTGTTGAGCCTCTGCTATGTGCCAGGCCCTATTAAGGTGTTGATGATACACTAGTGAACAAAACAAAGATCTCTATTCTGGTAAATTTTATTCTGGGGTAGGGGTGGAGTTGAGTCAAGGAGTTGGTAATAGACAATCAAAGATAAAAATAAAGTAAGTAACTTCTATGTTAAAAAGTGATAAGGTTCTGTGGAAAAATAAAGCAGAATTAAAAAGTGGAACAGAATCTTCTTAGCAGGTAGTTTATAAACTCTTTACATAGAGAGACCATGTGTTATGCTTATGGTGTAACAATCTCCTTTTGTTACTCTCCCAATCTACTCTGGAACCTAACAGTATGAGGTACAAAGCAAGAACTCATTGATTGTTTGTTCTTTACCTTCAGATGTTAGTGACGGTAACATAAAATTTGATAATATCATTTTGTCTCCTGGACCTGTCCAAAGAAAAGGAAACATATTTAAAAAAATTTCACAAGCACTGTATGTTGTCGTTGTTAGTTGCTGACTCCATGCGTGCAGAATAGAGCCGCTCTGTAGGGTTGTCATGGCCGTGACCTTTCAGAAGCAGATCGTCAGGTCTTTCTTCTGAGGTGCCTCTGGGTGGGTTTGAACTGCCAACCTTTAGGCTAGCAGTCAAGCGCAAACCATTTGCACCACCCAGGGACTCCAAACACTGTATAAAGGGACTAAATTCAACTCCCAGTGACTTCCAAACAGCCTTCACTGGTTTTAAAAGCAGTGCACACATAAACCGTTTAAACAAGCAATTCCAATTCTAGGAACTTCTCCCAAGAAAATAATCAGACCAGTGGGTGAAAAAGTATGTACAATAACGTTTGCCACAGTCCTATTTAATAAATAGGGAGTTGGTTAAATAACTATGGTATATCCATATAATGGATTGCCATGCATCCCCTTAAAATGATGCTGTAGTCACTTTTTATTTACCTCTGTCCACTATATTTTATTTAGTAAAAAACAAAATATCTCAAGAGTTGGAATAGTGTGAATAAAAATTCATGTAGACTCAGAGAGGTATTTGCAAAGTTCTTCCCCAAACATTAATAGTGGTTATCTCTGATTTGGAGCAATCTTTCCTTTCATTTTTATCAGGCCTGGGATTAGGGTTAGGTGAGTGAGGCACTCACCTTGGCCACGAAATTTAAGGGGGTGCCAACAAAACAAAACAAAACAAAACAAAAAAACGCAGTTATCAAGATCAATGCTAAGGCACTATTTTTTTAAGGAAAAATGATGATTTAAAATCTGACAGTATTTCACCTCAGTATTAACAACAACTCATTGCATGTTGTCGTGTGCCATCAAGTCGATGCATTAAAAAAAAAAAATCACTGTCGATTTGTTTCAGACTCATAGTGACACTATAGGACAGAGTAGAACTGCCCCATAGAGTTTCCAAGGAGCGCCTGGTGGATCAAACAGCAGACCCTTTCATTAGCAGCCATAGCGCTTAACCAGTATGCCAACAGGGTTTCCAGGTCGATCCATAGCCCCATTAAAAAAGGGTGTAAAAGATCAGCCAGTTTAAAAAAAACTTCCATATTACCTTGTTTTCTTGTCATATATATTTTTCTCCTAAAAATAGCATATAACTCTTTGCCGCCGAGTCGATTCCAACTCATAGCGACCCTATAGGACAGAGTAGAATTGCCGCATAGGGTTTCCAAGGAATGGCTGGTTGATTCCAACTACTGACCTTTTGATTAACAACCTGAGTTCTTAACCTGTACCAGTAGGACTCCAAAAATAGCATATAGGAGAAAGACATTTTTGATTATTTTGACTTTCTGGTGATTGGTGCATGAAAATCCATGAGGAACAAAATATGAAGAATTGAAATAAAGACAAGATCTGAGCCTATACTTGCACAGCCCCAAGGGTGAGCACTTCACTCCTCTCACCCTGGTCCTGGCTCACAGATCTTGTCTTTGCTTAAAATTTTGATACTTTGTTCATCTTGGATTTTTTAAATTCGTTTTTTTAAATAACGAATTAAAATATTGTTTATCTCGATGACTGAGTTTTTAGCGTCCCTTAAAATTTTGTGCCTGTGAGGCACTTGCCTCACCTTAATCCAGGTCCTGAATTTTTTATACTTTTTTGTATCATTCAAATTTCTCAATGAGCTTGTGTTACTTTTATAATGAGAAAAATAATAAAGATATTTTCATTTTGGGAAAAAAAGATACTCGGGTTTATGTAAAAAGGTGTGCATACAACAGGAACAATAAGACAAATCATCTTATTTTGGGATGCCCTTTTAAATGTATAAGGAGCCCTGGTGGCATAGTGTTAGCGCTCAGCTGCTAACCCACCAGCTCTCCATGGGAAAAAGATGTGGCAGTCTGCTTCTGTAAAGATTTACAGCCTTGGAAACCCTATGGGGCAGTTCTACTGTGTCCTATAGGGTCACTATGAGTTGGAATCAACTAGAAGGCAATGGGTTTTTGGGTTTCGGTTTACCTAGCAAATGCCTGCAAATTCACATTTAAAATACGAGTTCAAATCCAACTCCCAATGAATGAAAAGAGAAAAAGATCTCAGAAATATTAAGGATTTAAAATGATGGTGTGTGATTGCAAGCCTTGGTTTTTAGAGGCAGTACAAGTGAGTGCTTAAGAGCATAGACTCCCATCTATGCCCCTTAATCCTTGTACCTCTGCTTTCCCATATTTAGAAAGGCATGAGCAATAGCCTCAACAATGGACTCAAACATACCAATGATCATGAAGATGGCACAGCACTAGGCAACATTTCTTTCTGTTACACATAAGGTTGCCTTGGGTTGGAAGGCAACCAACAACAACCACCAAAAAAGATGATAAGAATAATGCCTACCTAGTGGGATTATATGTTAATTATATGTTAATATATGTCCAGCATTTAGGACAGCCTCAGCTGCATCTAAGTGCCATATAAGTGTAAGCTCTATGGAGCAATGTTCCTCCCATCACCTTTCTAAGGAGGAAGGTGCTTGGTGTATTTGAGGAACAGCAAGGAGGCTGGTGGGATTTAAGCACAGTGAGCAAAAGGGAGAGAGATAGATGAGGTCCAAGAGATATCAAGTGCCAAATTGCCAGGGCTTCGTAGGTCATTTACTCAGTGAGATGGAAGCCATTAAATGAACCACCCTGACGGCTGTGCTGAGAAGAGACTACAGAAGGGGGTGAGGGTAGAACAGGGACATGCACTGGGAGGCTACAGCCCTTATTCAGTCAAGAGATAACGGGGTCTTTTGGGATGGTAGCGGAGGTGGTGAGAGGTGGTCATACTCTAGATATATTTTGAAAGAGACTACAGGACTGGCTGATGGTTTGGATGTGGGATATGAGATAAACAGCAGAGGCAAGGAAGGATGGGGTTGCCATCAGTGGAGACAGAGAAGGCTGTGGGGGAGCGGGAGGCTGAGGAAGATCAGAGGTTTATTTCTGGACATGCTATGTTTACATGTCTATTAGACATCCCCATGGAAATGGGTGTAAAATATATACTGTTCTTTCAAATTAACAACATGCTGGTTGGTTTGCTTTAATTAATTCTTGCTTTCCTCTAACATTTATGCAATTACATGTGGTCACTGAGACAGGTCCTTTGACACATAACACCTATCTCACAGGCTTGTTGCAGTTTTCAAACACAGATAATGTGTGCAAAGTGCCATTCACAGTAGGCTGATAGGGAAATGGCTGCTTACACTGTTTTCGAAGTGGATAATATCCAGATCTGTCTTCTTTCTAGTCCGCTGTCTACTAGTCTTGTGAATAACCACTAGCGTCTGAAAAGACTAGGGAGGAATAACTGATAAGTAGTGTTAGTAAGAAACCCTGTACCTTGAATTAAAGGAATCTACCGGCAATATCAGTGCAAACCTGGGGGACTTGGCTCCATCTCAGTGCAGATTCAACCTTCCAGGCCCTGGGGAATAAGGAACAAAGAATGAGGTTTCATAAAGTCCAATCCTAAAGTCCTAGACCAACTCTAAACAAAATTAACAATAGCCATATTTATCATACATTATTGGAAGCAGTTTGTATTTGATTTTCACAACCCTTTCTACAACCCAATGTAAATGGACTTCCAGATTCTCTAAAAAAGAAAAAAAAACCCTGTTGCCGTGGAGTCTATTCTGACTCGTTAGTCACCCTATAGGACAGAGTAGAACTGCTCCATAGGGTTTCCAAAGAGCATCTGGTAGGTTTGAACTGCTGACTTTTTGGTTAGCAGCAGAACTGTTTATCACTATGCCACCAGGGTTTCCAAGAAATAACAAGCTATGTTTATCTCCTACATGCAAATGAGGATTTAGACAGATTCTCAGACCAGTGCCTTTAAAATTTTTCTCCCACCTCCTCCCCTCCCACCTTGGACAAACACAAGCAGAAAGGGCTGTGAACTGTGTCCTTGGATGGTGTGTAGACAGCAGAGTTAACAGTTTTCTGTTTGCACTAAGCCAGGAGCCACTGAGTCCTTGGCCTGCTCAAGGACCTGCCTCTTTTGATTAGGTCAGAAGCAGAGCAAAACTATGAGGCAATTATTTTCAGCTTGACCTTTCAGGCCTTGCTGGCGTCGAGCTAACTAATTTGTGTGGATTTTTCTGTTGACACTTCTGACTGCCCTTTTTGCAAACTGAAAAAAATAACTAGAGGTCAAGAGGAAATAAAAGTAGGGGAGTAGTTAGCAAAAACTGTGCTTGCCAGAGTTTCCACAGCAATTGATAGGTGAGTAGAGATGTGGGCGAGAATTACAGCCCATCTTCCCTAAGGAACATTGATTCTGTCCCCAACCTTGGTCGCAAGTAGTAGATGTACCAAGACAACAACAAAACCTTTGTTGTTTATTCGGACTCGGACTCGTAGAGACCCGATAGGACAGAGTAGAATAACCCCATAGAGTTCCCAGGGCTGTAATCTTTACGGAAGCCGACTGCCACATCTTTCTCCCGTGGAGCGGCTGGTGGGTTCAAACCTCTGACCCTTTGATTAGCAACCAATCGCTTCCCCACTGCGCCACCAGGGCTGCTTGCAAGTAGATGTAAATCAAAAAAACCCGTTGCTGTGCAGTCGATTCCGACTCGTAGAGGCCCTATAAGACAGAGTACAACTGCCCATAGGGTTTCCCAGGAGCCGCTGGTGGATTCAAACTGCCAACGTTTTGGTTAGCAGCCAGGTTCTTAACCACTGCAAGCCACAAGTACATGTAGGCCCCACCAAATACAGGTGTTGGGGAGGGCGAAGGGAGACCAAGCTGAAACCTGTTTTACCTCAACGGGTTTGGATCCTTGAGTAGTTGCAACCTATCCTTCAAGAAGGCCTTGGAGGAAGGTGGAAGGGCCAATCGATTATCTGGACTTGGCTCTACCTTCCCCCGCCCCGGCTGCCCTTCTCTGGGACCGTCTGGTAGGGAATCCCGGAGCAGAGCCGAGCTGGCCAACCGAAAAGTTCGCAGCACCCGCCACCCTGCTTCGCGGCCACGCGGACCCAAGAGCAATAACCCAGCCGCATCCCGCTCCTCCCCACGTCCAGGTTCCCTCAGTGGGGACGCTCAGCCCCCCGGGCTCCGTCCCCGGGCACAGGTTTATCCCTCCTCCGTCCCTCCTGCGGCTCTGTCCTCAGGTTCCCGCCCCAGCCCCCAGGCAGAGGTCCCCCACCCAACTCTGCCTCCTCCTGGGGCTCTGTCCCTAGGTTCCCTCCCCAGCCGCTGGGCAGAAGTTCTCCCTGCTCTGCCACCCTCCCAGGACTCGGTTTCCACTTTCCCACCCGCTCGCCTGCCCAGAGGTCCCCCCCCCCCGACTCCTGTATCCTTCGGGTTCCCTCACCCTTCGGTGATCCCCCTTTTGCATGACCACCTGATCCACGCAGCCCGCTTTGATCTTTCCGAGTGACCAAGCCTCAGTTTATCTGTAAAGTAGGGACAATAATCTTTACGTCGTTTACCTACAACGTGACAAAACTACCACAAAAGAGGGGATTCCATTATAGCGTTTATTGCTAATTGTTGCTGACACTGTTGTTGTTGCCATTATTTGGGGGGCGGAGAGCTTTCGTCTACAGTTTCAAAGGGCAGCGGTGGCCAGCGCCCGCCCGCGCCACACCCTCCGGTGCCAGAGCCGCCTGGTCTGCAGACCTCGGCCCTCTGCCTCCCTGCCTGCGTCCGGAGCTCCGCGGCCTCCTAGCTGCCTGGCGCACGACAATGCCGGGTGGTCACCGCCTCCTGCTGGAGAACGCGCGGCAAGTGGTGCTAGTGTGCGCGCGCGGCGAGCGCTTCCTGACGCGGGCCGCGCTGCGTAGCGTGGCGGTGCTGGAGGGCGCCAGCCTGGTGGTGGGCACGTAAGTGGGGTAACTGGTCAAGTATGGCTGTGCTTGGCGTTTTCTCAAATGTGTGCACGGCTCAGGGAAATGGGTAAAATTTTCTCCCGCACCACGAGAGACAGTGGCAGAACTGCCTTTTAGGCACCTGTTCCTAACAAGTTTAACTGCTTTGGGCTGTAATTCGGTGGGGATGACGGAGAGTGGGGGTCTCAAGCTGAACATGCCATCAGGACGCATCAGGATCCTGCCTCAGCTGGTAAAACATCATTCTCCAACAATCACAAGGGGTAGGGGTGCGCTACAGTGCTTCTCGAAGTGCGGCCGGGGAACGACTTGTGTGCGGGTGGCCTGAGATTTTTTTCAGAAGACAGATTTCTGAACCCCACTACAGGTCTTTTGAATCTGCATGTTTTGGGGGGTGGAGTTCTGAGACCTGAATTTTTAAAAAGCACCTCTCTCACCTCCCTCGTCTGTACAGTAAGGCTTCAAAACCACTAAAAATGTTTAGTGAAGCTTTAGATGATAGGAAATCAAGATTAGGCCACTAGAAAAAAGTGACATTTTCGGTTATTTTCCCTTAACCTTCAGAGCTTCCTGCCAGACGTGAATAAAAGAACATCCAAAGGTGGGGGGGAGAGGGCGGATCTGGAGTGGGGGCGGGAGTTGGACGCTGATTTGAATAGGAGACCTCAGGGCTCAGTGATTGCACAAGAAATATCTGCATCACACAGACCACTGTTTATCTGAAGCTGTGTACGGTGTGTGACAGCCTAGCTTTTAGAGACGGTGGTGTTTGTTTGGGATAAAACCTTTCTGGTGTCACTGTCAAAATCAATTTGTTAAAAGCAGTTAACAGAATTGGCACACTTGTTTAGGAATTTGAGAAAATTTCTTCATAGGTTAGACCAGAGCATCTATAAAAATGATAGTAATACCACCATCAATATGTTCTCTATAACTATGTTCACATCAAAACCACATAAAATAGAGAAAGAAAAAGAAGGGAGTCGACCTGTGGTGTAGAAGATGGTTTTTCAATTTGAGTCTATTATATGCTTCATACAGTTTGTTGGATTTACCTGCATTAAAATTCATTTTCAGGAATATTCAGAACTTTGGTGTTCAAATGTGGCTAGTTTGGTGCAGGGCTGGGTTGTTTTTATTTTCACTTACTATCATCCGTGTTTTATACACATGCAAAATAAAGTACAGAATCGAAATAATTATCTAGTCATTCAAGTTGTTTTGAAACACATTTTCCACTTTTATTATGTGATATGTTTATCACATAATGTTTTCAGGGTGGATTATTTAGATGATTATCTTAAATGTTCACATCATTTTCCTTATGCAGCACCTACATGTTCAAATATAGTTCGATCTTGCTTTGATTTTAGTACACTAGACGGGAGCTAGCTGTGAGTGTGTGCGTCTGGGACAGGGATATGATGGAAAGCTGCTGAGAAGTGGAAGAAGGTTCCATTTCAAAGCCAGGAAATGGATGGGTTTTAATGGTGTTTTATAGTTATAATCAATCTACCTTAGTTTCCTAGTGCTGCTGTAACAGAAAAGTGGGTGGCTTTAAAGAGCAGAAGTTTATTTTCTTACAGTTGTGGAGGCTAAAAGTCCAAATCAAGTCTTGGCCGTGTCGATTCCTTCCTTGTAGGTAGTCCTGGGAATTCCTTGGTTCCTTGGCTTATAGAAGATCTTCACATTAGTGTCTGTAACTGGGATGGTATATGCATCCATCCTACACTTCCATAAAGTACCTTGAAAGCCACTAGAAGATGCATCATCCATGTTACATCATCATCATTACCGTTTTATTATGATTATACTGTAGCTTCTAGAGTAGAGTCTTGCTCGCTAGCTTGCTTTATTACTTACGGGAGATTCTGTAGAATTTTTATTCCTGAACTTTTCAGAATAGAAACTTAATACAAAATAAACAAATAAAAATCAGTACGAATCTGCTCTGCTCTTTTTCCCTTTAAAAAGTACATGTGATATATGTTCATTGTAGAAAAAGTGGGAAAACACAGTTGCCCAAAAAGAAAGAAATCACTCAAACTTTCGCCAATCAGTGAACTAACGCCAACATTTAGGTGTTTATCCTTTCAGATGCTTTCTATGCACATAGAATCATACAAAAATACTTTTTTTTTAAGAAAAGAAATCTTTAATGTATGCTGTTTTTCACTCTGAGTCTCCCCCCACCCCACTTAGTAATAAGTTGTGAAAATCTTACCACAGCACTAGTATATATCTTTATCCTTTTTAATGACTACATTAAAAAATCACTTTGGGGGGAATGTTGTTATTTAGTTTCCTTCAGTAGCCATCCTTGTACATAAGCCTTTCTCTTAAATATGATGAGTAGGAATCCACCAAGAAGACATCCACGTTCTTAAGAAGGTAAATAATCATGAGATTAGTGGGGTCAGGAAGGACCTGGTGCCCTGCAATTTTTCCTCCCCCACAGACTGAAATTGTTAGAGATTTATTCCTTAGGCATGATCTTGTTAAAATACAAACAATCCCTCTTAAAGTAGTGTCAGTCATTAACTCTTTGCGTGAGATAGTTTATCAGATTTTTTGCCTTGTGGCTCCTGACTAAGATAAATTTCATACCAAGTGAGATACAATTTTGATAAAAGAGGGGGGAAAATAGTTCTAGGTAAGAGCATTCTCTTTGTCCTTTCTTATCCAAGGGTCAGTTTCTAATCCTGCTGGTCTTTTCTACCACCAGATTCACTGAATATTGGATGGTTTATCTAATTGAAATGGTTGGGTCAAATAAAAGTGGTAGTTGATGAAGCGTTGTATGAACAGAGATACTAAACTAAATTTAAACACTTGATATCCTATCCTATTCCTAAGTTTACACTTCCCATAGCTCTCACAGTCATTCTTTCTTTTCCTTTTTCATCTATCCTTTTCACCCAGATTCTGCTCCTTTACTCTTACATTCAGTTCTAGTACTCAAACTACCCCAGTGCCATTGTTAATCCCCTCTCCTCACCTGCTTCTCACAGCATTTTCCAGGTCGTAGGATTTTAGCCCTTCATTTCAAGTTTGGAGACACTAATTTTCTGTGAGGGGCAAACTCAAAGTAACAGGGGCCGAAACAAGATAGAAATTTGCTTCTCTCCTATGTAAAAGTCCAGAAGTAGGAATCCAGGGCTACTAATAGCCACATTCCATGGAGTCCTCAGGATCCAGGTCCCTCCCCCCTTTCTTGTTCTACTCTGCATGGCCTTCTTTCCCATAGGGTCCAGTTATTGCCAAGATGGCTGCTCCATCTCTAGTTATGGTGTCTACAGGGTAGCTACAAGGAAATAGGAAGAGAAAACGAAGAACAGGGGCAAAAAATGCATACTAACTAGCTATCTTTTTTTTGGGTTACTTGAAGTTGTTGTTGTTTGTTATTGAGTTCATTCTGACTCATAGCAACCCCATGTGATAGAGCAGAACTGCCCCATAGGGTTTTCTTGGCTGTAATCTTTACGGGAGCAGATTGCCAGGTCTTTCTCCCGCAGGGCCACTAGATGGGTTCGAAGCCAACTTTTCGGTTAGCAGTCAAGTACTTAATCGTTTGTGCCACCAGGGCTCCTTTACTCGAAGGTGCCAGGCATTTCTACTTGACATCCTATGGCTGGAACTTAGTCACATAACAACACCTGGCTGATGGGTGGCTGGGAAACATAGTCTTTTTCCTGGGTGATCATGTATCCAGCTACTACTGTAGTAAAAGGGAAAACTGATGTTGGGAACAACTAGCAATCTCTGCTACACATAGGCCGACTTTTTGTCTTGAATGTAGCTGGAGTCACTATTCCAAAGACACAGGTCCAAGATGGCGATACAATAAATGTTGACTGACTGGCACTAGAAGACATCCAATGATGTATTTTAAATCACCAGCCAGATTTCTCACAATATGTCCCCAAACTTTAGCAAGTATTTCTTGATTTTTCTTCAGGGATGGGTATATAAAAGCCATTGGTCCTGCTGATGCTATCCAAAGACAGTTTTCTGAAGAAACTTTTGAAGAAAGAATTGACTGTTCTGGGAAATGTGTTTTACCAGGTACTTGCTTCTTTTTCAGTAAGGCCCTGAAAACAGTTTTTACTTGCTGTAATGTAAAAAGGAAAAGTAGCAGCTTGTTTTAAATAGGCTCTCACAATAATATT